TTCCCGGCGCTCTGCCCTGGCCCAGGCTGACTGGGGCTTGGGCTGGCTGACCTGTCTCCCACAGGGACTCGGGGTGGCTGGGGCTGGGACCGCGCTGCCTGGCTCTCGGCCCATGCCACCCAGGACTCCAGGGCTGGGGGCACTGGAGCTGCACTGCCCGGCGCTCTGGGGCTGGCCTCCTGGAGCACCGGGGCTGAGGGCCCATGCTGCCCAGCCATCTGGCACTGGGCTGGTGGCTGCAGTGGGGATGCTGTGGGCTCCTGCATGGGAGGGAGGGCAGACTGGGAGGGGTGGGGCCTCGGGCACAAGGGGAGGGGCCGGGGGCTAGCCTCCTCCAACAGCCGGGTCACTGGCCACCCATGCTTTTAATAGTGTTAGTAACATCATCAAAAAATGACTAGTTGTAACAGAACACCCATTTGTGAGTGAGGCATTAACAGTGCAGGAACTGCTCCCTCAGTCATCTAAATGATCCAGTCTGGATTCTGCCCCATTGTTATCCAGCGTTCAATGGAACTGGGAGCGGGTGGTGGTTCTTGCGAGGCAGCACTAAATATCATATTGCTTCTGAGACGGATGGCAATATGGGTAAAAGTGCATCGCCATCACAGAGAGTAAAATAAAAGGAGGAAGAGTAGCGCCTCATGTTTATATATGCTCAGTGAGCAGAGACTAGCTGCCCTGAAAAATCATCAGCAGATCCCTGATTCAGCAGGACGCTATAGAGACAATAATATCAGAAATGGACAATGCACATAAAACTCAACTGCCATTTCTGGCACAGAACTCAATCCCTCTGTAGTAATCAGACATGGTGGTAGACACATTGGCAGACCACAAACCCAGGGCTGAGTTTAACAGAGAATATATGGTATACTCGCAGCAATCCAGAAAATGCCTTCAAATTTATAGCCTAATTTTGAGACTCAGACTCATAGACTTTAAGGTCAGAAGGGACCATTATGATCATCTAGTCTGACCTCCCGCATGATGCAGGCCACAAAAGCTGACCCACCCACTCCTGGAATAATTCTCTCCCTTGACTCAGCTGTTGAAGTCCCCAAATCATGATTTAAAGACTTCAAGTCACAGAGAATCCTCCAGCAAGCGACCCCTGCCCCATGCTGCGGAGGAAGGCGAAAAACCTCCAGGGCCTCTGCCAATCTACCCTGGAGGAAAATTCCTTCCCGACCCCAAATATGGTGATCAGCTGAACCCCGAGCACGCGAGCAAGATTCTCCAGCCAGACCCTCCGGAAAAAAGTTCTCTGTAGTAACTTTTAATATCCCATCATTGACCATTGTTACTAATTACCAGCGATGGCACGTTATTGACCTATTGACTAAAATCACGTTATCCCATCAAACCATCCCCTCCATAAACTTATCAAGCTTAATCTTAAAGCCAGAGAGGTCTTTCGCCCCCACTGTTTCCCTCGGAAGGCTGTTCCAGAACTTCACCCCTCTGATGGTTAGAAACCTTCGTCTAATTTCAAGCATAAACTTCCCGACGGCCAGTTTATATCCATTTGTTCTCGTGTCCACACTGGTACTGAGCTGAAATAATTCCTCTCCCTCCCTGGTATTTATCCCTCTGATATATTTAAAGAGAGCAATCATATCCCCCCTCAGCCTTCTTTTGGTTAAGGTAAACAAACCGAGCTCCTCGAGTCTCCTTTCATACGACAGGTTTTCCATTCCTCGGATCATCCCAGTGGCCCTTCTCTGTACCCGTTCCAGTTTGTATTCATCCTTTTTAAACATGGGAGACCAGAACTGCACACAATACTCCAAATGAGGTCTCACCAGTGCCTTGTATACAGAACCAGCACCTCCTTATCCCTACTAGACACTCCAATAGGTTGAAAGCACTGAGGAAGTATGGGCCAAAGACCGCAGTGCTTCATGATGTGTAGCCTTGACACTAGCACAGTCTGTTTTGACTGCCAACAACGGATGCAACCATTGATGACAAAGATGCAAGTGCTTGTGTAGTCCAAATTGTGACAGATAACTCCCTCCATGTGCAAAGGTGTAATCAATGGATTAAGCATGAACCACTGTCAGCATCAATGTAAACTATATTGATGTAGCAAGCCTGTATCTATTTTAAATTAAAGCCTATAGTAGGGTGTCACACACCAAGGTGTAGGCAGTGCGATCTAGTGCATGGAGCAGGAATCTAGCCTGGTGGTCGGAGCAGAATCAGAGGGCAGAACTGGAGGTGTGGTCAGGAGGCAAGCCAGTGGGCAGAAACAGGAGTTCAGAGGCAGGCAGGAATTAGGGCTGAAGCAGAGCAGGCGAAGGGTGGAGCAAGGGCTGGATGGGAAGCAGGTCTGGATATAGAACATGGTGAACAGCCACCACGCTGCTGTTATGACAGGGCTGAAATGGTGATCATAGAATCATAGAATATCAGGATTGGAAAGGACCTCAGGAAGTCATCTAGTCCAACCCCCTGCTCAAAGCAGGGCCAATCCCTAGGCAGATTTTTGCCCCGATCCCTAAATGGCCCCTTCAAGGATTGAACTCACAACCATGGGTTTAGCAGGCCAATGCTCAAATCACTGAGCTATCCCTCCCTCTGTTGGCTCTTCTGACCAGGCTGGGAGCACAGTCACTTAGAGCTTGTCTACACTAAAATGTTACAGTGGCACCAGCATAGCAGCGCTGCTGCAGCACATCAGTGTAGATGCTACCTATGCTTAGGGGAGGGATTCACCCACTGATACCTCCCCAAGAGGTGGTAGCTAGGTCAGCAGAAGAATTCTTCCATCGACCTAGCACTGTCTACACTGGGGGTTAGGTCAGTATGGCTAAGTCTCCCAGGGGGGTGGATTTTTCACACCCCTGAGAGACATAGCTATACTGATGTAAATTCCTAGTGTAGACGAGGTCTTCATGAGGGTTTACTGGGCCTGGCCAGGCTCATGGGATTGCTTGGCAAACGAGCCCAGAGGCAGCAGAGTTCCTGACACAGGGTAACCACTTACATTGAGAATTTCAACCAGAAAACATCTGTCAAAATAGTGATGTGGGGTTCAAGAAGTATTGCCACACCCCTCTCCTCCTGCTCAGCTGTACACAGTAATCAGGTGTACTGAGATCGCCCCTGCAAACACGCCATATAGCGGTGGGGTGAAAATATTCATGCTGGAATCCACTGGCTCCTGGATACCATTAAGGGTGAAATTACAGCTCGCTAACTATACTAGTGGCTGAATGGATGGCACAAGTGTGGGTCACCCCATAAGCAAGAACATGATTCTTGTTTAATGGGATGAATTCAGAACTGCTTCAGCGTCTTCCTCTAGCATCTTGCATACTCTGAATCAAGTGCTCGCGGGGTTGATGGAAAGATGGTATTGCCCTTGTTGGCTGAGACCAAATGATCCAGAGGAAGTTTTGTGACATTACATATTGAATTTCAAGCTAGCATTGCCACAGGGCATTTTGTAGGGAACAGTGTCATTATGAATAGCAGCCTGTATGCTTCTTGCACATATTTGCCTTTTCTTCTCATATCCAAGGGGTTTTGACAGATCAGGGTTGGCTGTCTGACTATGAATTTGGCATTACATTCTTTCCCAGTTTTTGAACTGCCTTATTCATACTAACGGGTTGCTACTTAATTAACTCCACTGCTTCTAAAGTGCATGCCACATTTCTGGGATGGGAGAGGGGAGGGGATGGGTGCATTTCCTCAGTGTCTATGTAGCCCAAATACCACAGTGGTACTGCAAAGAGAGCTCATTAGGTTAAGTAAGGAAACGATACATTTTCAGCATCAAGAATATGATCTTTCTGTGCGCAAGGTGTGCTTGGCATGAGTACTAGCTGAGTCATGCCAGCAAAAATGTTGCTTATTTATGGATAATGGCGTATTTAACTTCCTCTTATATCAGCTCTTGCAATGCTAATATAGCAATCGTAGTGCAGGCCAAGGGAAGGAAAAATGAGTTCTACATGGTCTTTGAACCTGGTAAATGAAGACACCTGAAGCCCAAGGTCAATAGTGTCTATGAATGTACAGGTATGTCTGGGTGTGGTCACCCTGACAGGCAACTCCAAACTGCAGAGTGGTCAGCGGAGCTTCACAGGCTGTTTCCCAGGAGTTCATGGAGGTCTGGATCACACACGCTGCTGTGGATGACTGGAACAGTCACAGAGTGCTTAACCCTTCCTCAGTGCAGTCACTAGAAGATCCACCATTCACCTGTGGTTTCTGTCCCTGAAATATGGCGCAGAAATTTGTATCTCTTGTGGTTTCAAGCCAGGACAACGGGTGTCTCCATTATACTCAGGATGCCCTGGGAAACATTATGGTGCTGTCATTTCATTTCCCAATATCAGTGATACGTTCAAGATGCAACAAGGGCATTTCCAGGTGGCCTTGGGGCCCGTCTCTTACTGGCACAGTGATGAAGCACTTTCCTCCCATTCCACGCACACAGCTATCTGATAGCCACAGTTTTGCGGAGAGGAACATTAGTAAAACACTCTTATGTGTTCCCAGGCGTTTCCAAATAATTTCCCCATCCCTCTCTTACATACACACTTTTACTACCATGCACAGTGCTGGACAGCAGAACAAAAACTTAACATAGACGGGTGCTATATGTGGAATGATGAGGCCAATATGACTTCAAGGGGACTACCTATATGAATAAGGATTACTCACATGGGTAGGGATTTGCAGGATTTTCTATGTTCTTGGGGCTCACCATGTTTCCATTCTGAGTGGAATGGAAACATGGTGAGCCCCAAGGACATATATATATTTCTGCTTCTTGCATTAGTTTCTGATGTCTATAACTTAAGATCAGACTGCCACATACCTTTACTCCATACCTGACACCAGCCATATTGAATGGTAACACATGGTGGAGAATGCACAAACATATGTATATATTGGACCTACAATGTTCTTGTTTAAATAAATAAAAAAAAGTGGGGAGTGAAAAAATACTTTCATTCAACATTATCTAATGTCTGTCTTACCTTCCTATTGGTCCCAGATCTCCTGAATCCTGGCTGCCAGCTTCACTGGGGGTGCTCACTGATTTCGAAGAGGGAGACATAGGGGTTGGGACTAAATAATGAAAATAACAGGTATCCCATGTTAAATCATGCAGCGACTGCACTGATGAAGAGCAGTGTCAGACAAATCAAAACCAATCAACCAAATGATAGTGGATAAATGATTAGGAGAGTTTGAAATGGTGAAAGCAAATAAGGAAAGGAAAGGAAAAGAAAAGGAAAAGAGTCAAGTGAATTTTTAAATATTTTTGGAAATTTTAAAATTGTAATGAATTTAGACAGATCTGAAAGGCAACTCTAATTCTATACATAATTGATGTAGGGATACTGTGGAAGTAAAGCAACACTGTTGTTTCTTTTGCTAATTTTAAATTTGATTTGTAGAAGATTTTTAAAAATCAAACCTTTTTGTTTATTTGTTAGAAATCTAAGTGAACTCTTCTGCTAAAATCAAATGGCACGAGGCAATAAAGCAATTACATTTGAATTTAAATTAAAATCTGTTGAATGTGACCTGCGTTTCTTTGTGTAAATCAGATCCAAAGTAAAAACAGAATAGGGAAATCCAACCAGGTAAAAAAAGCCCCTTCCAGAAGCAATGAGAATGTATATGAATGTATTGTTGTGGTTGGGTTTTTAGGTAATTTCAGTTGCAGAGTGTTACTGTTTCTGTTTGGGGGCCTGATCCCAACGTCCACAGAAGTCAGTGAAAGACTTTCATGGACTTCAATGGGCATTTGATCAGACCCTTATGCATTATCCTTTACTTTCAGGGGATGGTATATTTCATGTGTATGAAATATATATGCAAAGACAGGTTTGTCTTACTAAGTAGGAAAGGAACAAAGTCATAAGAGTTAAAGCTCCTAGTGTAGAAACAATAAATACAAAAAGTAAAAAAAAAAATTTTTAATTGTCCTTCAGAAAGAAAAAGAAAGGCTGAGATGTCGCCACTCCAGATTTAATGCAAGTATCCTTGCAAGCAGTCACATGGAAGAAAACACAGAAGGATTTTAATGCACAGTAAAGATTTCCATTTGGTTTAAATCATGTGCATTTTTCCTTTTACATTTAACAGAGTAAAACTTTTAACTATTTTGTTATACCCTATAATATATAATGACAGACCTGTCAAGAGACTTGGATTTTCCATTTGGTCAAATCTTTCACACATATTCTCACTAGGGATTGGCAGAGAAATGACTAGAATATGAAAAATGAATTCATTTTCATGACAGACCCTTGGCAGGTACAGGCATGCAGTGGTTTTGCATCTTTGGGTATGTCGACACTATGGAGCAAGGGTGTGATTCCCAGCTCACACAGACATACTCGGGCTAGCTCTCATCGAGCTAGCATGCTAAAACTAGTACTGTAGTCAGGACAGCACAGGCAGCAGGAGCAATGGCAGAGATTAGCCATGCTGAGTACGTACCCATGGGGTTCAGGCAGCTTTGTACGTGTCATGGCTAGCCCCATGTCGCTGCTCTCCACTGCCCAGACTACCCCATCTACACTACTGTTTCTAGCACTCTAGATTGATGAGAGGTAGTGTATGTCTGCACAAGCTGGGGATCACATCTCTAGCTCCAAGTGTAGATGTAACCTTAGTTTTAGGTAACTTCAGAGGGAGCTGGATATTGTATACATATCCAAAGGGACAGGATTACAGCTGTTAATGTCTTTTGATTGAGATAAGATGGGTGAGGTAATATCTTTTATTGGACCAGCTTTGGTTGGTGGACAGGACAAGCTTTCAAGCTTCAGAGAGCTTTTTTTCAGTCTGGGGAAGGAAACCAGGCTGTTCAAGTTAAATACAAGGTGGGACAGATTGTTAAGCACAAGGGGTTCAACGTGTTATAGGAGACCACTCTCATCTGTTGTAGGACAATAGAAGGTTAGCAGGCAGCATGGTGTGTTACAACTTGTTGTAATGGTCCATAAAGCCAGTGGCTTTTAGTGTCCAGCAGAGTTATGACTTTAAGCGCCCTGTCTGGTCTTTTGAAGATGTTGTATAGGTTTCCTTTGAGGGTGAGGACTAAGAGGTCAGATATGGAGTGATTACTTTGTGAAAAGTGTTCACCCACAGATGATAGAGTGTTTTTTTCTTTTATCATTTTTTTGTGTGAGTTCATTTGAGAGCATAGTGATTGTCTGGTTTCACCCACATTGTTGTTGTTGGGGCAATTGATGCACTGGATGAGGTACACCATATGTTAAAATAGGCATGTGTAGGACCCATGGATTCTGAAAGGTGTATTGTGGGGGTAGTGATCATATTAGCAGCGGAAATATGTCTGCAGGTTTGGCATCTGTTGCTCTGACAGGATCTGGTGCCACTTTGAGTTGGTGTCTCCTGGTCTGTGGTGTCTTCTGATGATGAGCTTAGCAAGGTTGGGGAGTGTTTGAAGGCCAGAAGGGGGGGGTCAGGAAAAAAAAATCAGGGTATGCTCCCCATCAAGTATGAGTTGTAATTGTTTGATATCCCATATGGGTTCCAGTGTGGGGTCATAGGTGACGTCTATGGGTGTAAGGTCGGTGGGTTTTTTTTCCCCCTGTGGTGAAGCAGGTTCTCCCAGGATATTTCAGTTGCCCATTCCATTATGTGACCTACTTCTCTGGTGGAATGTCCTTGTTTGGTGAAGGCAATTTTAAGTGTGCTAAGGTCTATCCCAGACTTTCTCTCTGGAACATATTCTGTGGTATCTGAGTGCCTGGCTGTAGATAACAGATTTCTTGGTGTGTCTGGGGTGGTTACTGGATCTGTGGAAGTGAGCGTGATGATCTGTGGGTTTATTGTATAATAGATGTCTGTTAGAGTCCATTGTTGAAGCTAATCATAGTGTCCAGGAAGCTGATGCTGGTGTGGGAGTGTTCTAGAAAGAGTTTAATGGATGGGTGGTGATAGTTGAAGTTGTGGTGGAAATCTGAGGGAGTTTAGGTCATCTGTCCAAAGGATGAAAATATCATTGATGTACCTCAGTTATATCATTGGTTTTGTGGTGTATTTTTCCAGAAATTTTTCATTGAATCATAGAATATCAGGGTTGGAAGGGACCTCAGGAGGTCATCTAGTCCAACACCCTGCTCAAAGCAGGACCAATCCCCAACTAAATCATGTCAGCCAGGGCTTTGTCAAGCCTGACCTTAAAAACATCTAAGGAAGGACTGAGGGGGTTTATGAAGAGATTTTGATTGTCAATATATATTGGCGAAAAGGAAATGCTATTGTTTAACAAGAATTAATAATTTTATATGTTAAATTAAGGTTCTCTGGATAGTGTCATAGTAAACATTATTAATTCAGGATAGGAAGTTGAACTACTCTGCAATGGTTTTATGTGCGTTTGGTTGTTGGGTTTAGTGTGCGGTTGCTGGGTGGTGTTAGTGGCCTGTGATATACAGGAGGTGAGAGTAGATGATCTAGTGGCCCCTTCTGGCCTTAAACTCTATGACTCCATGTGCAATAGACAAGACATAATAATTTTGGGGATCCTTAGTAGATAAATATTTATATTTTGTGATTTTTCTCTATTAAAATTACTGTTAATTTGCTTTTATAATATCTCTATATAATGTACAAAATGCATTTTCTGATAAGTTAAAATAACCTAACAATTAATTGTCAGACAATTCTTTCAGGATCTGATACCTCATTGCTGGAATTACAGCATCATAATTTATTATGATTACACGTTTCTGTAAATTTTAGTTGCTTTCATTTAGGAACTGAGGCCTCAGTTCACGAAAGCACCCCTATTCAGGACAACACATAAGAATGTGCTTAAGTGCTTTCCTGAATCAGGGCCTGAATGCTTTGTTGAGCTTTTGGATGTCCCTGAATATTGCAGGCAGCAGTATATAGGGGGTAGAATCCTGGCCCCATTGAAATAAATGGGAAAACTCCTCATTAATTTCAATGGGGACATGATTTCATCCAGGATATTTAAGACACTTTTGAATGAGAGGGAGAGAGAAACAAATGAAAAATAGGCAAAATAATTTCTCACATTTGGAATCACACATTGAGCAACACACAGAATAAAACACTGCATGCAAGACATGTTAACAGAAATAGATTTGATAATGAAACCCATATTATAAAATCATCCCATATGTATATAAGGTGAGGAATCTAGGGTTTAAGAACTAAACAGTCAAAAACAGAAAAGCAATGAAAGCAAGAAATAAACTATATAAAACAATCTAAAATAATGATTTGACTATAAGTTTGTTAATATTTGGATATTTTCCTTTTTAATTCTCTTCAGTTTTGCTTGTTTAAAATTATTTCACATAATAAGAAAACCTTCCACAGAGATATTTTCCTTCTTTGAGTATACAAATGATAAAACTCAATAATTGGTATTAATGAGATATAATATTAATATCATTGGGTGGAAAGATAGGAGAGAATATAAATAGAGCAGCAACCAAAGAAATCAAACATGGTTTAGAATTGTGTTTATGAAAAGTCCTCTCAGAAATAAAGCTGATGCTTTGCAATGGCAAATGGTGGAAATGCTATGAACTGGCGTATATGAGTGATATGATATGAATGGTTTCCAAGCAGAAGAGTTCACTTCACTAATACAGCCAAATAACACAAAAGCAAAGCATGCTTTTAATTAAAAAAATGCATTAACTGTGTAATAGCCCCATGTTTACAATGTGCTCATCTAAGTACCTAGAGGTGGTTCTGGGGATATACCAATGCTCTGTAATAAAGCCTCTGTCTCTCTTCTTTTGCGATCTAGATCCGAATCTTCCTGAACTGGCTCTTTCTTTTGCTGCTGATCAGCCTGAATAAAAGATAATAAACAATTAGCTTGAATGACATACAATGCGGTTTCTTGATTAAATGGGAGGAGAACATATATGCACCATGGTTCCTGGGCTATTATGGAGTACTGTGACAGTCATGAAAATACACTTGGGAAGCTCATTTATACTGGATTTATAACAGGAGGACTCTGCCAGTGTTTGAGATTGGATTGAGCCAAAGGGATGTTTGCAGGAACCAGTACAGATTTATATGGAATATTTCTTAAGCTATGATTCAAATCTTTTCCCTATTACTTGTCGGATGCCATTGTACTGTAGAATACTGGGAGGTTAAGAGAGACCTTTGATCTTAATTCTGCATAAGAAGGCTGACATGTTACAGATAGAGACAGTCAAACTGAATTAACCCTGGTCTACACTACAGAATGACTTCAGTATAACTATGTTGCTCAGGAGTGTGAATAATCCACACCCCTGAGCGACATAGTTACACTGACCTAAGCGCCGGTGTGGACAGTGCTATGTCAGCAGGAGAGCTTCTCCCACCAACATAGCTACTGCCTCCTGTGGAGGTGGAGTTATTAAGCCAACAAGAGAGCTCTCTCCTGTCGGCTTAAAGCATCTTCACCAGAAGTGCTACAGCAGCAGAGCTTCATCAGTGCAGCTGCGCCGATGCAAGTTACTACTGTAGACATGCCCTTAGCTAAAATATGTACTGACCCCGACACACTTGAAAGTAATAAATAAATATGGCCGTGATTCTGTTCCCACTGAATTCAATGGGAAAACTTCCACTGACAGCAATGGGGCCTACATGAGGCTAAATGTTCTCCTTCCATGGGGAAAAAACAATAGAAAGGAGAACAAGTGTTCATAACTCTTCGAGATCTGAGTTAGTGTCCATGGAATGCCCCCCTACAAACACACACACAAGCCTCACTGGGGAAAGAGCAGGAGAGAGGCAAGAGGTGGGGCTTTGAAACCTCCTGGTTCCTGATGTCTGCGAGAAGACATACAATCTATTGGCTTGGCTCCCTTCTTTCTCCATGTCTTGCTTAACTGGCTGTTAATTAATACAGTGTGTTTAAAACCTCTTTTAGTGGTTTAAGGTGGCTCTTCTTCCTTTCCCCTCCCTGACTGACTTTATGGACTGTTTATTGGTAATTGTACAAAACTGTATAAAATGAAAAAAATATTAAAAGAGACAACATGAATTGGAACTTTGATTTCTTGTATCGCATCAGATTCCATAGTAATTCTATGAAACACATGAACGATATTAAGGTGTCAGTTTAAAAGGAAACCAGTTATTAGTAAGGGATAACAGGTGCTTTAAACTACAGTAAGTGTTGACATTTGAAGGAAAAGAAACATAATCACTTAATGCTTCTTTGACTTTGCATGAAAATGAATATCCTTTCCCTGTCAATTCTCAACTCTATTTCACTGAGTGACTGAATAAAAAGAAGCACAAATCCCTTAATGAAAAACCTAATGCATATTGTCAAGGACAAATAAACTAATATGTCAATCAAACTTTAATAGAGCTGAAAGATGCACTGATGCCAGGAGGCTAAAATGCAATTGCAATTATGTTTTACTTTAGTGGAGGATCATCACTGTAAATCTGTTACCTTAGCCAGCAATCAAGCCAGTCTTAAGAGTAAAAAAAAACAAAACAAAAAAAACCCCAAACACTTATTTAAGTTGTAATGGGTCAAAAAAAATTGAAGCCCTCTCCCCCCACTAAAGGAATTCCCAGAAGAAAGCATTTCTGCAAATCTTATTCCTTTCTACACATGCATATCATGTTGTCCAAACTGCTGTCTGCTGACAACTTGAATATTCTGAAGGTGATTTTTATTTCAAACTTTCGTGGCTGAACATAAGCATTTTTATTTTAGGCTTAAAGCTGCTGTGGTTATGAGAATCACTTCCTACATGACACCTGTCCTACGTAAACCATATTGGGATGCTAAACCTTGGACCTTTCTGTAGGCTTCTGACATTTTAATGAGTTTGTGCATATTTACCTCTTTCTTTTTCCTTTCTTCTTCCTTCCGTTTCTTCTCCTCTCTTATTTGTGCTAGGCGCTGCTTTTTGCGCTCGAGCTCAGCTTTTAAATCACTTTTGTCTGACATTTTGAGTCTATTGAAAAACAAAATAAAGTTATGGAAACTGAGAAAAATGGTCAGAATTAAACATTTTTTCTGTTTACTGAAAAATGTTACTTGATTGCATCAAAAATGATATTTGAGATTATTGTAAATGTATAGTTATATAAGCATCGATCCTTAGTACTACAGTGTAATATGGAAAATAATCTTTGTTAGAAACTTCCCATTTTAAGAGACCACCCCAAAATATCCCTGTGCTACCCCACCCTGGCCTCGCAAGGGTTAACTGTGCATTTCAGGCTGAGGAAGCCACGCCCCTTCACCTCTGCTGGGCATGCTCAGCCTGGAGGCAAGATATAAAAGGAAGCAGCCCAGCTCAGTGTGGGCAGGCTGCTGAAGGGAGAGAACGCAAACTGCAGGCTCTCTCCAGGGAGCTGTTACAGGCCCAGAGCCAAAGCACGCAAAGCACCAGATGGATTCCAGGCTGCCTGATGAACCCAGAGAGGACGCCGTGCCATCAGGAGCTACACTGCCTGAGTACCCCAGAGACCTGTGGACCATCGCTGGCAAAGGCAGGGTAGGAAGCAGCCCAGGGGACTTAGACTTTGCTCCAGTGGGTGAACCAGGGAACCAGTCAGCGTGTTTCGGGAGGAGACTCGGTGGCAAGTAACCCTGCCACTGCCAGGGCCCTGGGCTGGGACTCGGAGGAGCAGGGAGGGCCCGAGTCCCCCTACCCTGAGTGCCACACAGCCGTGAGTGACGCTCCACTTCCCCAATGGGCCAATAGGCCACACAATCCCACAGAGGTGTGCGACTTTATTGACTCCGGCCATTAGGGCCACGCTGCCCAGAGTGGAAGGGCCGCTCGATTGACTCTGGCCACTAGACTGTACTACCGCGTTTTATAGTAAGGGTCATCAGCATATGCCCTAATTGACTGCGGTACAGCCTCTTCCCTTTCTTTTACCACACGTGACCTGACACTCTATGACGGGGTATACCTATCCCATGACACTGCCACAAACATTGGGTAAAACTAACTTTAATACTATGTACTAATGACCTTTATTAGAAGGTCACCTTTGTGAAGCAACTGCTTTTTGTCAGTCCTTTAAATGGATGCTTTAAGGCCTGAAAAACTCCCACTGATTTCAATAAACTTTGGATTAGACACCAGGAGCTCAATCAACTTCCCATGGACCCCTGTTTAAACTTCATACTTTGGTACAAGATCAGGCTCTAAATATTAATGTCAGCCTTATTTATTTTGTGACCATTTTTATATCCTGAGGGTATATTGTTCCCCCTGTGCCAAGTAGCCAGACTGGGCACCAAGGATTTGCCATGGGGTAGAGGTGAAAGTGAATCTTCTCCTGAGTGAAGTAATTGCCCTTCTTGCAGGATGAAATTCACTCCCCCTTCTAAGGATTCATGCAAAGTCTTCGTAACAAATAAGCTCTCACTGTTTTGAACAGTCACCTGCAGTCATTTGAGTGTGCCCCCAAAATCAGTATTATGTTTGTTTGTTTATTTTACAGATAGGTGACCTGCGGCACAGATCATATGAAGCAGGAATATCTCCCAAAAGACTAACTAATGCCAGACTTGTGCTCTAGCCGTTAAACCATACTGTTACTTCACAAATCATTGACTTAACTCGCTGATTATTTACTCAATCTGTAACACCAGCTTCAGAACCGTTATGTACTATCATGTAATGGCATCAATAGGGATTTATTTGCTCAATAATACTTTACATAAAGATTCCTTCAGAGACACTAGCACAGAGTCTAGTGTAAAGAGCTAATTACATCCTTTTGTATTTTTAATTCATACCTCACTGACCACATACACATTACAGCTCAGAATCAATGTGGTCAATGCAAATGGCATGTACATGCAACAGAGGTCTATTGTCTGATGCCGTGCATGGGAAATTTAAATGGGTGACTCTCCATTTATACTAATGACAGCTACATATAAATCAGTGCCTGCACTGACAGGAGATGTCATGTCTTTTTTAGCATGCAGATTTACAGGTTATTTCAAACTATCAAATTCTTGTGCTGTCACAAATTCCCCACCTCAAAACAAGTAAAATGAGTCCATGATATAGCAGGTACTGACAGCAGAATTTCCTGGGAACCCCAAATACACAACTGAAATTCATATGTTGTCCTTGAAGATATTTTTGTTTATGGAAGCAGAGGAGACAGAGAAATCCATGCAATATGGAGTAAATGCGTAAACACTCAACAAATCTATAGCAGTAGCAGAAAGAGTAGGATCAAGAGCATCTGCTTCAGCACAAACTGAGCTGTATATGGCAAGTCATGCAAGTTAATGCTCCTCAGGCTGAAGTCATACACCAGCACAAACACACCAGCAGTGAAACGCCTCTTTGTCCAAGCCATACTTCAACACAGAATGTAGGGCTGAAGTTTGTGGGCTGCATCATGGCACAGTAGGTTTCAGGATTCTCAGGCTTCCCAGCCTACAGTGGTTCAGGGCCGCCCAGAGGATTCAAGGGGTCTGGGGTCTTCGGCCGCCGAATTGCCGCCGAAGACCCGGCACTTCGGCAGCGGGTCCTGGGGCGGAAGGACCCCCCACCGCCGAATTGCCGCCGAAGACCCAGAGCGGAAGACGCTCTGGGGGCCTGGGCCCCGCGAGAGTTTTCCGGGGCACCCGGAGCAAGTGAAGGACCCCGCTCCAAGGGCCCCGAAAAACTCTCGTGGGGGCCCCTGCGGGGCCTGAGGCAAATTGCCCCACTTGCTCCACCCTCTGGGCAGCCCTACAGTGGTTTCCTGGTTCATCCTCTACCAGCTCAGTGTAAATGTAGAAAACAGCAGTGGGACTATAACTATGGAAGATTCAATTAGCTAACACGTTCTGGCCCATCTGGCTGCATAATTCTACACGTGGCCATATTTTTTTGATAGCCAGCTGGATTTCTCCTTCTGTCCTGGCTCCATTCATAAACATAAATGCATTATTCATTGTTTTCAGTTTGAGAAAAAGAAAACAAAACAGCCAGAACAACGCTAGTCCACATAAATAGCACAAAGCAATATTACCTCAGGCAACAATAATAATTTCTGGGTGCCAATGAACCATGTGATCAGTCAATATAAAAGATGGGATATTTTGAACAGGCAAATGATTAGAAAAGAATATGGACTTTTTAATGATAGTATCAGTATTACTCTGCCTTTAAAATCTGTGTTGGATTTGTGGGCCTTGCAATGATATGTTCTAAATCCTATTTGAAGTAATTTTCCTAATCTGTTGCACACATTTGAATGCTGATTATAGAGTTTCCCCTAGGAGCCCTTAGGACTAGATAAAGCTTTTTGCATCCTTTTAGTTCTGCAGTTTGGCAACAGGGAGTGGGATCCTATTTCTATGCAGAAAATATGCAAATTTGTTTTAAGGCTGATGACAGAAACCCTGAGGGCTTAACTTCCCTTTCAAGCTGTTTTTCAGATATCAATTGAATAGGTTTCCAAAAGCTGGTTCTTTTAATGTCAGGAAATCAAAATGACTTTTTCCATGATCTGAGCATCAGCTATTTAATCTTTCACCTGTTCCTTTATAACACTGCAAACCCCTCATTAAGAGCCATAATATTCTATTACATATGTGTCTTTTTTAACACAGTGAACCTCACATACAGCAAAGATAATGCATTAAATTTCATCTGAGGAATGCTGCAAGAAGCCCTGCATTTCCCTCTTTAAATGATACAAGAGACTGAAATATTTCTCTCTAGCTGCTGTCTTCCTATGCATATTACTGTAATTCTTTGATCTTCCAACTAGCTTACCAGGCTTCAAATGGCCAAGAAGGCTGCTGCTAGGATTTTAGAGCAAATCAAAAAGTCAGATTCCATTACCCCCTTGTTAGGACATCTGAGCCAGCCAGCAGACTAAGGCCTGGTCTACACTAGGCTTTTATGTCGACTTTAGCGCCGTTATATCGAATTAACCCTGCACCCGTCCACACCAGGAAGCCATTTAGTTCGACATAAAGCTCTCTTTAAATCGATTTCTGTAATCCTCCCCAACGAGAGGATTAGCGCTAAATTCGACATGGCCATATCGAATTAGGCTGGGTGTGGATGGAAATCGACGGTAATAGCTCCGGGAGCTATCCCACAGTGCACCACTCTGTTGACGCTCTGGACAGCAGTCCGAGCTCGGATGCTCTGACCAGCCACACCCCCGGGAAAATTTGAATTCATTTTCATTTTCCTGTCTGGGCAGTTTGAATCTCAGTTCCTCTTTGGACATCGAGGGGAGCTCAGCAGCAGTGGCAACTATGCAGAGCTCTCCAGCAGAGATGGCCGTGCAATCTAATAGAAAGAGGGCCCCAGCATGGACTGATCGGGAAGTCTTGGATCTCATCGCAGTGTGGGGCGATGAGTCCGTGCTTTCAGAGCTGCGCTCCAAAAGAAGGAATGCTAAGATCTACGAGAAGATCTCCAAAGCCATGGCAGAGAGAGGCTACAGCCGGGATGCAACGCAGTGCCGCGTGAAAATCAAGGAGCTGAGACAAGGCTACCAAAAAACCAAAGAGGCTAACGGACGCTCCGGATCCCAGCCCCACACATCCCGTTTCTACGAGGCACTGCATTCCATCCTGGGAGCGGCCGCCACCACTACCCCACCCCTGACCGTGGACTCCGAGGATGGGATCATGTCCGCGGCCGGTTCCTCGTCGGACATGACAGCGGACGGGGAAGATGAAGAAGGAGATGAGGAGGACGAGGCAGTCGACAGCGCTGGCACCGCTGATTTCCCCGACAGCCAGGAGCTCTTCATCACCCTTACCGAGATCCCGTACCAACCGTCCCCATCCCTTACCCCGGACACAGAATCAGGGGAAGGATCAAGCAGTAAGTGCTGTAAACATGTAAACATTTATTTAAAACAGAACGGTAATATTTATACTATTAACAATGTACATTTATAAAAGTTCTGTAAACTAGTAAAAAAATAATCAGGTACAAAACAGGAATATTTACA